TGTCTCATATTATTTGTTATATTTTTATTATTCGTTATTTTCACTTTACTTGCATAAATAATTTTGTTCGAAGAACATTTATATGCAGTTGTACTTCACAACACTTCACTTGCAATTTGCAATTTCTATTTTCACAATGGGCAGTGTTTTGAACAAAGATACTGCATATGATGACTCTGAGTACAAAGGTCAAAACAAACTACATATTGTATCATTATTAGATCTTTATTTGTTTTCTTTCAGGACTGAATGTAGCGTACAGCCAATATTACAGTTATACTGTACATACAACCACAATTCTGAAAGACTTCCATATTTATAACTTTTACCAAATTTAATACAATATAAAATTATTTTGTTAACATAAACAGATTTGTTCACTTTCAATCATGACCAATGTCGTATAAACAGTATGATGAAAAAAAAGTTTTGATGGTAACAACACTAAGTGATGATGATAACAAAGATGATGATGATTAATATATCAGTTACTGTTGATCCAAATAAATTTAAATTGCCACATCATATAAAATTACATTATTATCGAACAACACTGATAATAAATTAACTCTTATTACCACTCACTATTATATTATTAGTATAATAATAATGCCGCTGAAAACAATATTTGCATCATAAGAACAATAATACCAAATAATTAAATAAATTAACTATGCAATCATTGTATTACCAGGAATCAATCACTATTCACTCATGTGATGCTTAAGTTTTTAAGTTTATCATCAATCAGAGTCCAAAGTGAAGACTTGATGCATATCTACCCAGCTAGACTCAACACAGTCAAGAAACTCATTAACATTAGGAGAATCAGGGTATGAGGTTATGTTGCAGCCTAGCTCTTCATCCTTTATCCCGTAGCCCACCCCTAGGCCATTGAAGACCACAGGAGCAAAGCCACCAGCCAGCACCGCAGGGCTGCTTAAAGTACTTGTTGAGAGGACGATGTGGTTAAGTTGAGCATAGGCTGGATCTTCAAAGAGGGCGACAGATTGGCCTTGCTTGTTTGCGAGAGCTTTCATTGCAAAAAGGTGGCGATCGAACCCTTGCCCTGAAACAGAATAATCGGATATCGTTGAGATTCAGAAGGAAAACTTTTTATAAATATGAAAATAAATTGAATATAAATGAAATGGTGTTTGGTTGGTCTGCAGAAACTAAAGATTGTAAAGATGATAATTACCCATAGCTGCATTTTTGGTCAGGTCATTATGTTTATCTGAGCAGGCTTTTAGTAGTTTTTTCTTGTCTGCCACACTCGCGCCTGAGCCTTCCTGGAAAGCTTCTGAGCATTTCTTAGTTTCCATGGTAGCAGAACGAAGGGTTTCTGTACGGCCATGTTTAAATGCTGCCGTGCTACAAGACTCATACGTACTTGCAACTTTACCACCTGTCAATCGGTAGTAACCCATCTAACGTTGTAACAGAAAAATGACAGGATAATAAATTAGAAATAACAATGGCAGTATTGTGCCAATAAAAATATGGTAGTTGTTACAAAACAATTGAAGCAACTGTTACATCCTACTATGTATATCTGCACATATCCACCTGTAAAAGCGAAGCTGTCACAACATGTGTTAATATTATTATTACATTATTATTTTAGTATCAACAATAAAAATGTTTTTTTTTTTCCAGATTTTCTGATTAATATCAAAATAATTAGTATATCATATTAAAGATATATAACTAATAATTGATAAATTTACAGTCAATCATAACTTAAAATAAAACATAATTTTAAGAAATTTACTTGAAATGATAATTGCATAAATGCATCAGGACTCATCTTTTTTGTTTTGATGAAGTTCTTTCCGAATTTATCAAATTGCCTGACGCCAATATTAAGGTTGCCAGTAGACGTGTTGTACTTCTCAGTTGCATCTGTTATTCCAGTCTTAATGGTTGGATCCAAGTCAAACTCCAGCTATAATAGAACAGAAAAACTATGTGCAGTATTCATAGAGTTGCGTGAAAGATGAACATAACTTATGCTAACGTGCTAATAGTGTTAAAACAATTTGGAGTAACATTCAAAGAGGTTCTTAAATATACTTCTACTTAAATTTATCATAAACTAAAAACTAGTATCTTCATTATTTCAATTATTAGATTTCCACAAAAAATAAAAACACCAATTACTATTATAGTCCATTCCTATAATATCTGCATACCCTTACATTTCCAGCAACGAAGTTAAGGATTTATGTAGTAAAACATCTGTAAATCATTTAAAAATAATACTTTTTATCCGTTACTACTTGTTGTTAATTAACATAGTGATTTTTAATGCAACTCAAAGTTATATTCCAATTTTTGTATGTTTTTCTTGAGTCCTTGTTTGGCAATATATCTTTAAATCAGTGCACCAACATACTAGCATTCAGTGGACTTTTCGGCTAAATTCTGCCCTTTGAAATTTGTTGCTTAGGTCCCATAAAATGACAGCAATTCCTACAAAAAGATGGTTGTGGATTTTGGGGACTTGTGCATACTGTTCTCTCATTGGCCAGTTGTTAAGTTTTATTTACACTTCAGAATGATCTATGTATAGTAATATACTATATAGTATTAATCATGTCATGGTGCCTCACAGGATTTGAACCAAGAATCATGGATTGAAACCCGGGCATCGTAACCATGAAAAAAACAGCTTCAATTGACTGTACAAAAGAATATATTTGCTTTAGTTGGTAAGTTATTTCTATATCCTCAAATGTATCATCATACAAACCTTTGTCACTTTCTGCACAGAGTCTACATCTGCTGGCTTGGTGCCAGGAGCGAGGGCAGCATTCTCAGTTGTGTCTTTGTAAGATTCGTTCATGAAGCGAAGAACAGCGACACCATCACCCCAAGCATGCTCAAAATTGAGGCCAGTTACTCCATTTTTTGCAACAATCATCTGGAAACTTTTATCAAACCACCTGGAATGTACGCAAATATACCATGCAAATTAAAATAAAGCAAATTTCATATAGCTGAGAATTATCAAAATTAAATCAACTTCTCTTACAAGAAATATAATTTTGTTGTGGCATATTAACATCATGTATTATTAACATCATGTATTATTATCATGACAAAATAAAATAAAAATTGTAGTTATAAATTTTATTATTCATCATTAATACAACTACCTATTCGCACCATCACCATATAGCATACTTCTGGTCAATCCTACAGCCTCTGTCGGCTCTGTATCATCCAGACAAAGGCAAAACACAGCGCCATCTATCAGTTTCATTGTCTCTCGATTCCTGTCACTGCCATTTAACAGATGCTGTCGCAAGGACGCCCACGTATCACGATTCTCAGTTGTCATGTAACTTACAGAAAATTCTGGTCGAGGTGAACTATCAGCAAGAATATACTGGAGATGTGCTTTTATTTCTTCTGGAGGAACTATTGCTCCTGTAAAACAAGTGGAAATTAATCATTCTTGTTATATAATATTAGAAGTAGAAATCAATACTATACAAATGAACAGCGTACCAAATAAACATTTATGGATACCTTTGAGTGCGATACCAACAGAACATATCCTAAAATTTCAACTACTAGTCATGTTGAGCACGATGATGATGATCATGATGATGGTGAAAATGATGATGAGGATGATAATGATGATGATGATTTGATTTTGATTTGATTTGAATTTATTTGGTTCCACTTAAAAATACATAAAAATACAATATATAAAAATAAAAGCAACCACAAAACAACAATTCAAACAGCACCATGTAAAAGTTAAAAGAGATAACAAATTTAAAGTGAAACCAAAAAGTTAATTAAAAAAAGGCAAAAAATTAAACAATTCATCAAGCATTAATTAAAACATTTTAAGTTTTAAGTGACAAATACATGTGACTTGCCCATATATGGGTGTGGGTGTTTGCCCTCCTCCACCCACCCCTTACTTACTGAAAAAAATAGGGGTGGAAAAACAAAAAAAACCTTTTTTTTTCTTTAGCTTTTTTCTTTACAAATTAAAAAAAATGTGAGTGAATTTATCTTTATTTTTGCCAGATGCCCTACAAATTAGTCTAAAGTTGTTGTCTGATGTAAGATATTGCCATTCTAAGAATCTGTGGGTAATTTTTATTCCTTAAGAGACTTTTTCCACCTGCCCCTTTTTATCATTTTAAAGAAAGAAGGGCAAAAAAAACAATTTATTTTTTTAGACCTCATCATGCCCATATATGGTCAAATCTGAGACACCAGTCAGATTAAACTTGATAGTGTGCATACGGCATAACAAGTTAATTTAAACATGAGAACAAATACTGAAATCTCAAAGACTTTTATTAATGACCAAAGCACAGCTCAAAGCCTGATTTCCATAAAATCGCTACACTGTCACTACAGTGTTTTTAGTGCAAACGTTGTACTGCAAGCAGTCCCCGACGCAATCGAGTAGGCTCCCTGATTCGACCGACCAATCAGCAGCACCGAAAGCTGTCGGTGATAACGTGTAGCAATTGTATGGAAACCAAACTTTAGTATTTTGAGTTTCCTATATTTACCCTGACTGTCCAGGACATCAAATGTGTAAAACTTTCCATTATGAATGACCAGGAGATGGCGGGCAGTGTCCAGCCTCACCAGTTCATCTCTTCCTTGACATGGAATTCTGGTGGATTTGAATAGATTCCCATACTGGCTCATATCTAATGCGAATGCTTGGTTCATTATTGCATAATAGGCAGCTAGTGATCCCGGAATCCATCTTGTAAGAACAAAAAAATAATAATTTTGATTAAGATAAGTATACAAAGTAAATTTCAAATAATCATATAGATTATGTCATTTGTCTTAATGATTTTAGTGATGAATTAAACTAGTGATCCTCATATCCATCTAGTAGTGATGAATTGAATATAGTGTAAAATTATGATATAATATAAATTATTTATCATATTATGATATACAGTGTACATAACTCCCTCTAATTAAAGACTTCTAAAAAAGACCACCTCCAATTATGGACCACTGAATAAATGTCTATCCTTTACATTGATAAACTTTTTTCTAGAGACCGAAACTGCTAAAGACCATGTAACTAACACGTCCTATGGCGATTTTTTCTAGCTATAAAAGCAGCAGGAAAAAGATAGGTTGCCAGTCTGATGAAACCACTAGGTTAGTAACGAAACATAACTGAAAATAAGTAACATGCTACATTAATATCTAGAATTTGAAAAAAGAATCAAGATTTACATTTTATCTTCATTCGAAATGAATTAGTTTAAGGGACCATGAACCTCTATAACAAGAATACCAGTATATTACACCGCATATACCACTCAATGACAGAAATTATATTCTGGATATCTAGCTCAATATAAATTATATATAATTATATAAATTGATTGATTAATTGATTGATTGATTGAATATGATCTTGATAGATTAAGTCTTAATTGCTTCTTACTTAGCTCTTCTTCTAAACTTCTCGTTGTCCGTCTTCTTAGGGTTCAGATGATATAAGTCTGGATCAAGCTTACTGGCATGTAGGGTCTTCATAAACCTCATTGCTGAGACAACAAAATTTGTTGATCTCGTCACCTGGTATATTGCAATAATACAAGATAAGAAAAATACTCAATAACATTATTCAATCAATCTAATTCTTATTATAAAATTCATGATTGACAAGGAAAGATAATTGTAAGTGATTACAATGAAACAATGTCTCATTATGAGACTTAAGGAGAATAGGTGCATTTTTAGTCATAAGAAAAAAACCCTGGTGGTGTCACAGGATCTGAACCCAGAGCCAAGGATTTTAAGGCAAGCATCTCAACCACCCCACCATTACCATTATATCATAAACGAAATATCATGAAACATATTATTATTACCTAGGTTAGTACATACCTGATCCATATACTCTGGTCTTGAGTCTGAATTATAACAAATATATGGATTAAAATTGAGCAAGAGGGGTAGCCTTGACTCTAAGTACATATCAAACCAAGGACCTGAGGAGTTAAAAAAAAGTCATCAGTGAATCAGTTTAATACTAATTATTATATGATATCACACTGCATGAGTTTTCATAAAACAGTCCAAATACATCGTACAGAAATTTCAGATACAGACTAAGAAAACAAATAGCATTCAACCAAGGCACAACACAATTTAATTGGTAAATATATCATGAATTAACACAAATCACTTACCACTGATGTAACTTGTGTGTTTGTTCTGTTTGTCTAGAGCTACTAGTGCCTGATGTAAATCTACCAAAAAAAAAAAAACATAAAGAAACAATAATAACAATAAAACATTAATCAATCAATAATCTCTTATATCAATTTTCATTTTGTTGCAAATTATAACAAGAAAAGATAAAAACCTATTATAAGTTAAATGTAAAGGTAGATGGTGGAAGATGATTTCGCAGAATACATTAGATGTTGAAAAAAAAGAAGAGTAAGAGACAATGAGGAGAGAGAAAGGAAACAGAAAACAAATGAGCATGTGCAGCAGCATGTGTAGATCAAAACCTTGCACTGACACAAAAATTTACATTGAACATTTTTCTGCTATAATTACACAAATGAAGAGTAAAGGAATATGGCAAACAAACCTGGTCCTTCTTTGGCTTGAAATTTCTCTACTATTGCTTTAGTTTTATTAAACTCTGCATCGTTTAGTATGACTCGTTGTGATTCTAAGTATCTAGCACAAGTTTTCTCCAGCTTTGGGATCTTAAGACGAGGCAAGCTACGCTGAAAGTGCATTGTGGGTAGAATACTCTCATGGAGAAAGTCTGGGTCACTCAATCCTTGGGAACTGTGGAAATCAATTTAATTGATCAAGTTCGAAAATACAATTAACTGTTATTGTATTTACACTGGGTTTTACGCCCCTTTTTACCCAAGTTTTTGAATATTTAAATACCTGTAACTACGGTAATTGGCCATTCCAAAATTTTACCTCAAATACCCATTTCAGTGTCTATAATTATTTTTCCCTCACACTGTTTGGCTAAAGTCAGTCAACATAGGCCTAGCCACCAGAGGCCCTAGAATGTAAAGTTTGTTTGTGTTGGTCTGAATGCGTTCGTTGATTGCTATTGGGAGTAATCAGTTTTGGAATACCACTGATTACAGTGCAACCGATCACAACAGAGTGTAGTCTGAATAGGGTATTACCTGTAGTGTTTCTCTGCTTGGTATGCTGGACTAACCTGTTAATGATAAATATTTAATATGCAGTATTTCATATATTAAAAGGCAAAATACTAATAATAACAACAATGTTGTGGGAAACAGTGGCTGGATCTTGGTAGAGATAAAATTTAATATTAATAAGCAACAGCTAAAAATTAAACATACCAGGGTAAGTAAATCGCAGTAAACAGACAGAGAACTTTTTTATATTATTTACATCATTTTGACAATCATAAATATAAATAGGCCTAGATCTCGTCTTAATTTAATTAATAAAAATACATTGATATTGGGAACATTATCATTACAATCATATAACAAGCAATTGTTTTCAAGGTTTGAGGACAATGTTAGAAGCTAGCCTAAGGCCCTCAAAATGTACAGTACTACATTTACTATCATCCCATACTCTGCTACTAGGTACTAGGCCTACTTATAGACTATAGTACTGCTGCAGGCCTACCTAGGCCTCGAGCCGGCTAGCCTGGGCCTGGCCCTAGGCCTACCTAGACTAGCATGGTGGTGGTGGCGGCCACCTAGTCCTAGCTTTTCCCTTTTATCAATGTAGGTTCAACAATTATTATTGAATAGCTACTCACATTATTCTTCAAGTTACTTGAAACTCTAAACAAACAAGAACTCGTATTACTATATCGAAGCGTTTGAAAGTTTCTGATATTTAGCATTTTTGCCGATGAGACTTAGACCGACTGTACCGGTATTTCTCTCAGCAGCGCAAAAAGTTTACTGTACATCGTTTTGCTGCCCTCTACGCCTACGATCACGTACCTGGATAAATAGGCTGACTAATCCAGCTTTCGTTTTGTCTGGCAGCTATAGTTCTGGCAGTGGTAGCTAGCTGTGTTTGCTGCGTGCCTGATCTCCTGGCCTGGCTGTTGTTACCACAGATCTTATAAGGCCTAGAGGCCTATAATATGTTGACAGTAACTGACTTTAGATATATCAGATTTTATATTTATAAAAATGGGAGTGACATGGTAAATCAACGTATTTGGTTGTGAATTCTGGTCTATTAGTAGTAGTAGTAGGCCTAGCTGGTCTACGTACGTAGGGAGGGCCCCTTTCTTGATTTGTAGAAGGCCTACACTCACAACAATCTAGCGCGGCTTAAGCGCTCAGATGGTAGGCTGGATGCGTGCATGAGTAAGGCCTTGGCCTTCATTGAGGGCATGAAGCTGTGTATGCAAATACATTCTATTATTTTATGTGGTTTATTAATTTCTTGGGTTTTTTCTGACATTAAAATTGTTACGTTCAAATAAAATATAATATTATTTGTTGTCATTTTAAAATTAATAATAAACTTAACTCCTTGCTTAAATAATTGGGAGTCCTTGATTGTTTTTGCATTGCAGTCACCATTTGCACTCATTGTGTCAAGTGTAGTGGAGAACATTGAAAGAAGTATGGCATTTTACAGTAGGATTAGTAGTAGGTGCTTTGTTGATACCTAAAAAAGGTTGTTTAAATGAAATACTGTATGTGCTTCAGATATTCCTGATGATGACATAATTAATGTCGAAATATTGAATCCCAACACGATGGCGTGTATTTCAATACTTGGAGTATGTATTATACTTTCTTAACAATTTATGATAGAGTATAATATTACTGATTTGTTAATTTAATTTGCTTTATAGTGTCAGTCAGTGGATGATAGCGGAGAATCGGAACATCCAACAAGTTGTTGAAAATGTCAACAAGCGTCTAGATCTCCTGGGAGCAAACAAAACTGGAATATTCTGTGTCGACTGTGAAACCTACCAAGCATTAACACAAACCCAAGGTGCGTGTCTGCCAATGGAGTGGAGCTGTAGAGGAACCAGTCCAGTTTCAACCTAGCTAACATTCCCCTTACAAACTCGCCACCAGAACATTACAAAGTCTCCCTCTGCAAACTCATCCCCTAACAAATTTGTGGCCCCTATCTCACTCCTTAAACTCAACCATAACAAAGTTGGTTTTTTGGCCATCCAGAGGTTGATATTATTTTTTTTAAATCTCATTTGGGAGGGGGAACCCCCTCCCAACCCCTTACTCCAGCTCGAGCCTACGAGCTCAAGTCCCCCTGTCGGACAACTTAGCATTTAGCGCCCCCCCCCCCCAGAAAATATATCCTAGAGCCGCCACTGCTGTAGCTTGGTGGTTAAGATGTTTTTCCTCCAATAACTGGGTTCAAAGTACAGTAATATGAAACTGGCAGTACATGAGTGCTTCTATCAATCACCACTGATATGTCGAAATGGCCTATTTACCAATGTTTTGTCGGCTAATTAATACGAGCCTTGCCATTTCAAAACCAGTGTATTGTCACTAATTGTTAATGTTAAACCGAGTAATTAGCATTAGAATGTAGAAATTATTGTATACTTTAGTACACAGAAGGTGTAATAATTTTACCAATAACTTGCAATAATAATCGATTTCAGTAAATGATGGTCCCATCAATTTTAAAGCCTATAAATGTAGAGAATATGAATACCATTACAGTATTTAAAAAAAAATCAATTTTCATGTTTTTGTCTCCGATGCTGGTTTTGGCATGGCTCCTATGACTTCAGTTGTAAAATTTTGAAAATAATGTTATACAGTACTGTATAACTATTCTTTTATTCTGAAATATTTTATCATATACAATTTATCAGTTTTGAAGATAAAATTACATAAGATGGCACAAAATTAATTTTTCTTTTTCTAGGACAATCAAAAGTTATTCACACGATTCATAACACAGAATTTCCTCTGTCGTCTTTTGCTGTGACTGACTCGGGAACCTGTTTGGTGTGCGACACAAATTTTGACGGAATTATGCAAAAATTAAAAGGTTTTTATGGTCAACGGAAACTTCCAAAGATCGAGTCAAAAGGACAGAGGTTTGAGCTGGGTGATTTTGTGATCAAAGTGGGAATAGTCTCTGTTGGATCTCACACAAAAGGATTGTTAGTTGAGGTATGTTAAATAATTATATTGGTTAAGTAGGTATACCAGTATTACCACCACTTAAAAAGCAAGAACTTCAAAAATTATTATACAAGTTGTCACCAACATGGCATTAAAATACTAATCATACCGATTAAAAAATACTTGTACTGTATACTTAAGTATCTGTCTCTTATACACATCTAGATGTGTATAAGAGACAGACACGATGGCGTGTATTTCAATACCACCCTCTGATACCATAATGCAGTATATTGAACACTTTAATAATTTTAGGAAAGCTCAGGTTGGAAGGTGAAAGCACAAGCCTGTAGCCAGGGGGTTTAAACAAACCCCCTTTTTTAAGAAGTGCCCTTTTAAAAGTGTATGTAAAAATTTCTAGTATGACATTTTTGGGAATTCAAGGATTGAGGTCGTGAAAATTAGTACTTTGTAACAACTGTCATTGGCGAGTGTTATTACCCCTGGTCAATAGATAACATACATTGGCAAACCGGTGCAACCTTTGTGTGCTCTGATGGGGGTTATATTTAGTCCTATCACTGTACAGTACTTGGCAAACAATCCACTGACCAAAGGTAATGATTGTGCCTTGGTACAGTATAGGTCGATAGGTGGTAATTCATTATTGTCAATTGGTGAAGCAGTTTCACTTTGGGTTCACTCACAATCGTGAAGTCAGGGGTTTTAATTGCATGTTTATTCATGAGTGACCTTGTACAGTATTTAAACTGGGAAACCTGTCCAGTAGCAAGAGTGATGCAAAGCCCCTGAAAAAAATGACAATTTCAAAGGCTTACCTAATCAATTTTAGAGTCTACAAATACTGTATGTAGGAAATACATGTTCAGTAGCAAGCTACTGTTCTACCAGTGACATATCTAAAAGTCTTAAAATTGGGGGGGGGGGGGGGTTTGATTTTGGGGGGGGGGGTGTTTGATATTGTATGTTATAATATTGTTACTGTTTTTATAAAATAAAAAACTAGACTACAAAATCAGTGTACGCAAGAATTTATTTCTGTATCTAATAAATTTGTCATTTACAATTATTATTACAATTATGTTATAACTCAAGAATGACAGCTAACAAGCACTATTGTCTAAATCTTGAGCCCTGGGTTGACCCCCAGGAAAGACGCCCTCGGGATGGTGTGTACAGAATCGTGCTCACTATTTCAGCTGTTGACAATCCTTTCTGTGAAATGGAGGTGGCAACCACCTTTCAAGGTGTGGACTGCTACAGGAATCAACTGGAACCTACAAGATAGAATAAATAGCATGTAATGCAAGGATCTTCACATGTACGATATACTGTATGAGGTACGGGCTGTGTCAACCAGCCAACAAATCTATTTCTGACGTGTAAGCACTTAAAAATTTTACAATATAAAAAATTGGTAACAAAGTCAAATATCAATACTGTACACAGGAGTTTCCGTACACAGTACCCTACCTTCATATTTTGCCTAAAGAAGGAATTAAATTGCTTGTTGTGGGGCTGCTACATCAACATCGGCAAAGCTCTTTGCTAGCCACACACCAATAGAAAAGAAGACGGCATTCTTCAAGAAAGACCTTTAATATTAAAAGATTTTGACAACTGTTTAGTTTTTTTAAAACTTTAGGCCTAAGCTACACTACGCATGGCCTAGTTACAGTAGTTGGCTGTGGTGGCCTGGCTTCCCGGAAGCCTCCTCGTCGACCATTAATCAACCAGCAACCTCACTCCAAAACTACGTTCCCTACAAAGGATCGGAGAGCTAGCTAGAGAGACGGCTGAAAAAAATCTATGAAACAAGATCAGTCAGGTTACAGTTAACGTTAAGGCGCAACAATTTTCGCAAATGCTATGGTGAATACTTTGTCACTCTACCTTTTGAATGGATCTTTGTATAAACTTTGAAGAAAAACAAACGTTTTCCCAAGCCTTTCTTTAGTCGTATTCGCCATGTGGCCTGCACTGTGTTGGTTGTGAATGTCACACAGCGGTGGTAATAGAGTCTAACCTAGGCCTTCGATAGCAAGACGATAGATGGCGGCTTTTCATTGCAGATGCCGCCGCGGCGCCGACGATCGTGATGGATAACTTGAACATCGTCGGCGGCACGGTTGTGTTGTTTATGTAGTGTTCTAGGTCGGTGAGGTTCTGGGCCTAGGTCGGCTTAACAGTAACTTAACAGCGATGGGCTCAATGAATCAAGATATCAAAAGGGAAAGAGATACATCAACTATTGATCCTTCTCTCTTGACGCCTATTTTAGATGGAGGGATTGAAAAGACGAACTATAGACATTACATCGGTAAGTCGTACCCTAGCTAGCTAGGTAGTCGTCGTAGGCCCTAGGCTAGCCTAGGTCCGTATCACTCATATAGCCTGATATAAAAGCCTGGTTCTCACGAGAGACCTAGTATCCGGATCGGGAGCTAACCGTCGGCGTTCGCGCTAACCGTTAGCAGTATCCAGATACCGCTAATGGTTACAAGCGCTATCAGTTAGAAAGTTGAGCGCCTTTCTTTCTATCATCAACCAATCACACGTACGCGTTTACAATTTCCAGTTTCTTATTGGCCAGTGATTTGATCATCATATTTTTGGTATCTGGATTCTCGTATGGACGCACAGCAGCAAAGGCTATGTTCTCACACGGCTGCTAACGGTTATCAGGATCCAGATCCTGCTAACCGTTAGCACGTACGCGTTTACAATATCCAGTTTCTTATTGGCCAGTGATTTGATCATCATATTTTTGGTATTCGGATTGGGATTTTCTCGTATGGAGGCACGGCGGCTAACGGTTAGATCTCGATCCGGATACTAGGTCTCTCGTGAGAACCAGGCTATAGCCTTAACTACTGGGAGGTTAAAACAATTCTGCATCCAGGGACCAATAACGCCTTCTCCACGAACAGGTAAACTAACAGGCCAAGTCCGCGGTGCGTAGCCAACAAAAAAAAGGTAAACTTTGCCTACTTCCTCACTTCCCAAACTTTTTTTTCAAGGACCCAATTTCTGAATTCCAAGACAAGGCCCTTTAATAATGTAATATTAAATGTAACAGAATTGCACATCGATCCCAAAAATGTGATGTTTTATGTTTTTAAAAAATGACATGGCCTAGGCCTCGGTCTACTTGACATTAGAGGAGAGCCTTGAATCTGCCAATGGAACATGAGACTAGGCTACTTTTAATATTTAAAACAAAAATGTAATCAACTTTTTTGCTAAAAAATTTTTCAACTGTTGAAAAATATGGTGAATTTAAACCTAAATTTTACCCCTGTGGTTACCAGTGGCTTATTCAGGATTTAAGATAGGGGTGGGGGGGGGGGATGCTGAGTCCACACCACATCAGCACCACTTTAGTTGGCAGTGACGTGAAAAAATTTTCAGTATTTTGTACCTGCCCGAAAATGGAACTAAAATTACCTTTTAATTCTTTATATTTTTGACAAGATGATATAACCCAAATTAAATAAATAGTTACCCGAAAATGGCACTTAAATACTTACAATTCCAAAAACTACCATATCCACAAGAGCCCCACCATGGTTGGAACATTTTAAGAATTTGACACTTTATAGATGCCCAAAAATGGCACTTGGATGGTTGAAATTTATGAAAACTACTACCCCTCAGCCCACCATGGTTGAGGCTGAGGTAAGACAATTGTAAGAATTAGGGACTTCCAGATACCGGAAAAGGGCACTTTAATACTTAAAATTTATGTCAGTTATTTTTTACATTTAAAAAGGGGCACCTTTTTTTTCAACTTCTGAAGGGGGCTCTCAGGTACCCCGAGCACCCCCTGGATACGCCACTGAAATTCATTTGGATAATGTTATTTTTATGTCAACTTACAGCAAGGCAATTCAACAGAAGGACGCACATCTCGGGACATTAAAGGTTATAACTCTGGCATCGACATTCTAGGCGCACATGCGTCCCTACACGCTGAACGTCACAAAAACCATAGCAACCAGACCATAAACTGTCACCGTACCTTTCGAATTACCCACGTGCGTGTTAGTTGCCATGATAATCGCGCGTCGTGCAGTGATTACAAAGGCCTAATGATATTTTGCACTAACATTAATTTTACCGATATTGTGGTGTATTGTCGTTTATGAGACTTACTTCGCAGAAAAAAATTAATAAATGTTCTGTATCTACTCAAATGTTCGTTTTGTACACCTTAGTCCAACATTGTCTTAAATGACAGTTTAATGTTACATAAGAACATGCAATTTTATAAAATTTGTAAATTTTCAATTGCTATAACTTTTCATTTTCTTGGTCAATTTTCACAAATCAATTTGCAGTTTATAGAAGCATTTAACAAGCTCACGGTCAAAAGAAATCAGATGTAACAGATATTGCGAAGTTCCCAAAATTAATAAAATAGTAACTAACACCATAAAACGTATAGCACGCATAGACTAATAATTGACGGCTGTACTCACAACTAGTATCGGATTGTCGATGCCACAGAAAAGATCAGAGGACTGTACGCACACGCTATGTTCGAGAGCGGAGATGTGCGGCCTTCTGTTGAATTACCTTGCTTACAGTAATTTTCTGTTTTAATTTTTATTTCTATATGCCTATATTGTTTTTAAACAGTTGAAAGCTTAGATTTACACAATTATGTTGTGGTAAAGGGTAACAGAAAAATAATGCTAGTCTTATGAATTTCAGAATATTCATTTTGGGCATATAATAAAATTATTGTTCTAATGAGGATTGAGGATTCACCTAAACATGCCGGTTTTTTGTCATCAGACCTGTTTAACTGTCTGAAAATGAGCACATAAATTGATTTTTTTTTTTTTTGCAAACCTGCGTGCAACCCAACATAAAAGTTAGGCGACCCATAGTTTTGGGAAGCGTGGTTCTACACCACTACATAATTGAAAAAAAAATAGAAAAATTTGTTTGACCTCTGAAATAAAGACCTCTGAAAAAGAAGAACCTATCTAAATAGTGTATAAAAGTTAATTATAAAATAGCCCTATGCAGTACAGTATAGCAAAGAGTATAAATAGAACAAGAGAGCAAAGTCCCGTTCGTAAAAACGTCACGCCTGTGTAGAATGCCCACTAACGGTTGTATGTTCTTTTTATTAACCAGTGCAGCGCTGCGCAGCACAGTAGAAGTACGCCCGCTATAAACTCAGTAAGCAGAAAACAAAAGTACAGTATCTTGTGGAGAACAGATAAACAGACAAACTGACTGTGCGCGGTGGAGTACTGGGTAATAAAAAACATACAAGCGTTAGTTGGTGTCCTACACTAGCTGCGTATGGCGTATAATTTTTTTACGCTCTCAATGAGCGTTGTTGGCTCTCTTGTTCTATTTATACTCTTTGAGTATAGTACTAGTACTACTAGACTAGTGTAACTGTTTCAGTTTCTGTATGACTTTCTAAACCATAGCTGGTAGTTTATAACGAAACACTTACTATAGTACATAGTAGTTACAAATACTACTGAACTGTACTACATAGGCCTATTTTAATACACTATTATTTAAATAGGCGCTTTCTTTTCCATCTTGATTTTAGAGGTCAAAAACATTTTTCAATTTTTTTTCAATCATACATTTGTGCAGAATAGTGTTTTAAGAACATTTTCCAGAAAAAAACAATTAATTGTGATACGACTACGACCCTCCATTAAGGAGTAACAAATTTTTAAATAACATGAGGTCAAGAATTTAGCCTCAATGCTTACAGTATCTTATTTTAGTTGGGTTGTTCGTCATCACTTCCAGGTGTCTACTGATTCGTGGAAAAGGCATATTAAGAAACTCCCCATAGAGTTCTATAGGAGGCTAGACTGACTATAGGCCTAATAATAGCCCTCTATTCAGAACTTCAAGCAAGTATTAGAATTTTACAGTTAATATGTATGATTTTCATTGTATATCAATCAGAGAAACTTATCCTGGGCGATCCAATGTTCGACGAAAAAGAACGATATTTGCAAGGTCCAGAAGAGAAGTTTGATAATTCTGTCCGTAGGTCTTTACATTTATCAAACTTTGCGAAAAAGCACAACTTAAAATTAGATGCCGAAGATTTGCTTCTTATTTCAAGGTCAGTTTCCTAAGTTATAAGTCTTAAAGATATAATTTTTATTAGTATTATTATCTATCTTTTTATCATTTTCTCAACAAGTGTTTGGTTGATTTTTTTTACTAGTAAATTGTATTTTCAGAACTTTGAACTCAGATATGGCACTAACCATTCACCACCTAATGTTTATGCCCACAATTGAAAGACTTGGTACAGATGAACAAAAATCCAAATGGATGCAGTTAGCTAAAGATTCCAAAATAATTGGGACGTATGCCCAAACAGAGCTCGGACATGGTTAGTTCTATAATAATATATTTACTTTTATAATGTGTATTATAATTATATTTAAGTATATCATTCAAAACATATCACCTTGATGCTGTGTCAATATTGTGATATCACATTTATTTAAAAGAATGAAAGAAAGACTTGGTTTAGTTTTATAGACCTGGTTTCATTTTAAATTTTTTATTAGGAATACTGTATTTGCAGATGTGCTTTTGTTTGAAATTTTTAATTAGGAAACTGTATTTGTAAAGCTCTTATAATTCAGCCTTGGCTGTGATTTGAAGATCCATAAAAGAAAAACTGAAACTGAAAGTTCAGTGCTGCTGGCACTTGGTTAATTCTCTTCCTTATCTGTAGTCTTTCCAATCAGATTATAGCTGGAGGGACTTTTCTAAGTACTGTATTATTTTTGCACTTTCTTCACAAATGATACACAGTAACGATTTGTTACAATTGTTTACTTTAGGGACATACCTTGGTGGACTTGAAACTACAGCGACCTATGACCCCTCACGTCAAGAGTTTGTGTTGAATTCACCAACATTAACATCAATGAAATGGTGGCCAGGTGGATGTAAGTGAATAATCAGCTAAACACAAAGGTCATAAAATTTATCTTTGATAAATATATATTCTGTTGTTTGTTGCTTGAACATAGAGTACCACAGTTGTGTCGTCACAACACCAGGTGGCGCCCTCTGTCGCCAACCACACGTTGGTTACAGTTCATTACGCCTGAATGACTTCATAGGCTTTCTGGAATAGGCATTTTAAAATCTAATATTTTTTACCATCAAAATGTACTAAAAACACAAAAGCTTGCATTATATTAGTTATCGAACACACATTAAATCATCAATTAAAATTTACAAAGAAAAACAAAGATACAACATCTTAATAATTACGTTAGAAATTGGGATCAATGGTTTGTCAGTTGAGAAAATGGCGTCCGGTTGAACACATTTTGCAACGATAGCTACAGAGTAGTATCACATGGTATCGTGACGTAACACTGTAGTACTCTATAAGATAATATCTGAAAAGTTTTTTGACTAAGTTTTGCACTGATATTCTACCTCAATTTAACCCCATCTGTTAGATTTCTAATCTCCAACCTTTTCTACATTCTGTGATCTATTTTGTTTGGGTTTTTTTATGACTTCAAAATTTTCTTTTGGCTTTGACAATCAAGGAATCAAAAATAACTTACTGTTTTTCTTATCATATAGTGGGTTTAAGTTGCAATTATTGTGTGTTGCTAGCTAAACTTTTGATAAATGGCAAAGATTATGGACCTCATGCATTTCTTGTGCAAATACGGAATCTTCAAGACCACACACCCCTTCGAGGTATGATAATAAAATGCAATATCATTTATATAATCATGATTTTATTTTCCCCAGTGTAATGTATACTAAAAATCATACACATTTTATTGTGTTATAACTGTCATACCACCATGCATTATCAATGAAAAGAATAATTACTGTATTTAATAAATTGTTGTTTACAAATATTATTATTTTTATTATTGTTTTTTTTTTAATTATTATTTTTTATTATCTCTTTTATTATTATTATTTTTTTTATTATTATTATTATTGTTGTCAGTAAAAGATTTGTATTGCATATTGCAGGTAGAACTGTAGGAGATATTGGATTAAAGTGGGACTACAACACTGTAGACAATGGCTTCCTCAGGTTACATAATGTCCGCATTCCGAGACAGCAAATGCTCATGAAATATGCAAAGGTTTGGAAATACAACTTCCTTTTTTTATTTATTTATTTATTTACTTTTAATTTTCTTTGTTTTTTCTTTGATAAAAGTCTGTAATCTCTATCTTATTTTTTCAGGCACTATTGTATTAAATTATGAAATTCAGATCAGCATATAATGCCTTAATCTGTATGATTTTTTTTGTGTTCATATTGAATGCATTTACCTTTGACGTAGATATGTGCAGTTGAAACTATGAGAAGGGTTATAGTTGTGATGCAGATGCCTTAAAATATATGAATTAGAAATTAGATATGCACTTATATTTATACTTGTATTACTCATAGAACTCAAAATTCATATGGATTTTGAAATAGACAGTAATAATTTTCATCCTCTAGGTAGCGCCAGATGGGACATACAGCATATCTGGCAATATTAAAGTAACATACGGTACAATGATTGCAGTTAGACTTACTATCATTGCATTCTGTTACCATGAACTTGCCCGAGCCCTCACAATCGCTGTCAGATATAGCGCAATCAGGAGACAAGCACCTTTAGAAATAGGGTATGTTTTTTATGTCTTTACAAAAACAAGATCTAAGAACTAGTGTTTATTGTTTTTGGTATTTTGTTTATTTGTTAATTGTGCAAGTTTGTTACAGTACTGGTATATACAGTATTTTACTGATGAATGTCTTATCACCAAATGTTTTACATTTTAAACTTTTTCTATTTTTATGTAACAATTTCTGTGAAATAACAGGCAGCATTGTATTCATTTAATACTTCATCTGACACTTTTTCCCAGCACTAAATGCACTTAACCAACCCTGCTCAAAAGCACCTGATCTGTTAGGCCTAAGATTTTTTAAATTTTCTTTTTAAAGAGGAGAAGAGGTGCAGATCTTGGACTATCAGACCCAGCAGCAGAAGCTTCTTCCAGGCATAGCAACAGCATATGCATTCTGTTTTGTTCACCAGAAAATCACCAAAATGTACCACAAGATGGAAGCTGAAATCCATCAGAATAATTTCCAATCATTACCTGAGGTTGGTGAATTGAGATTATATTGTAAGTTGCCTTAAACTATAGAGGGCGCTAAAATAAATCAGTTTGCTTTGACCATATTAATTTAATTGTTTGTCTCAAAGCTCCCACGCGCATTAGTACATGCACTCTGTTCTTAAAAAATGTTATATATATTTTTTTTTTTTTTAAACATCTCACTTATATTGTAACCTCCTTTAATAGCCCAGAAAGTGTTGCGTGTTGACACACTGTAATTCTTTAGTGAAGAGAGCCCTGTAACGTACCTTTCAAACCCAGTCAACGATAAAAAATTTTTTTTTAAATACCTAAAAAAACATTCCGCATTAGGTTTTTGGAAACAGAAGAGCTTTGGGACAAACAATTAATTTAATATGGCCTTATCATTGCTATAAAACTCTGTCCACACTATAAACTCTCTGACAAAAAAATGCTGCCCATATATAGTCATGATGTAATGTCATCATGACCATATTTAGGTATGTCATAGGCTTTAATCTCAATAATTCTCTCATTTCTTTTACATTTTTTTTTTTTTTTTGCTTTTTAGCTTCATGCTCTCTGCTGTGGATTAAAGTCTTTCTGCACAGGCACAAGTTCTAATTTCATCAACATATGTCGCTTTGCATGCGGAGGTCAAGGGTTATTAATGTCCAGTGGGCTCCCATCACTATATGCACGATTTTCAGCCTCCTGTACCTATGAGGGTGAGAACACAGTCATGATGTTACAGTTGTCACGGTAAATGTCGCTGCAAATAATTTTTTGTGTGTGATGGAATGGCCAATACAACCTCTGTTATGGACACACAAGTATAACTGGCACCGGTTTACTGCAGGGGTGGATCCAGAGATATCCAAAAGGCGAGGGGGAGGGCCCCCCCTCCCGAAAGTGGGACTGATCGAGACAACACTACACTAAGGGGTTAGGAGGCATGCCCCTGCGAAATTTATGTTTTCTTTGGGGCATTTTGGGAGTTCTTTTTCTTTCTTTATTTTTTTTCATACTTCCAAAAGGCAGGGTAGGGGGAACCCTTAAATCTGCCCCTGTACCGGGGAGATGAGACACACAGTGAGAAGGAAGTTACTGTATGAGCTAGCCTATGCCTAGAGTGCCTTTTAAAGCTCTATTTAAATCTAACTACATTGCATTGCATACCGTAAAACCTCAAATAGAAGCCCAGTGGGCTTAATCTGGAGAAGCAGCCCATCTCGAATTGAAGCCCTCCATTTAAGTTTGCAAATGTAGCCTCGAAGCCCATGAGCTTCTTTTCATGATAGCATAGGCTTTTTTTCGAGATAGTACGTACATACACTGTACATGAATTTCAAAGCAACAAAATAAATTAATACATGCTTGGTTTATACTAATACAATAGTTTAGGTGATTTAATACCGGTTAATACACTCCATGATACAGACTTATGTTACTGTAGTTCTATTATTTGTTTTTTAATAGTAAATCCAAAAATTGACAGCATTCATTTTGAAAAGAAACTCCCCTCTTTACTTTGCAAAAGTAGCCTTGCAAAGAAGCCCATCTCGTGAAGAAGCCCATCTTGAAAAGAAGCTCGACCAAAGTTCACAAAAAAAAAAAGCCCAGGGTTTTAATTCAAGGTTTTACAGTATAATAGTATGTACTAGTGTACCAATCTTGTTTCCATATCATAGGTATTTGCTGAAATGTTTAAGAAAATCTCAAGAGGGAGAGGTGGTCGCTGGATCAGCTTCTTATTTGTCTGACACACCAGGCAGCACATCCCCCATCACTTCCTCTCATATGTGGACTTCTCTGCCTGTGCTACTCAGTATATTTAAGAACAGGTCTTACAAGTAGGTACATCATTATTATTTTTATTATTATTGTTATTACTACAGTGTTATTGTTCGCATTACCATTATTGATTAAAGTAAAGTAATTTTTATTAAATTAAAATGTTATTTTTCCTCTGAATTATTTATAATCATAAAGGATATTGCATGGATTAAAATACCTTAGTCAAGTGATTTTGTTAATGAATGACAATATTTTTCATGGTAGGCTTGTGATGGCAGTTGGGCAAAAGATGGCTGGGCTATTTGCCCAGGGCAAGTCACCTGGGCAAGCCTGGAATGGATGCCTTGTCGATCTTGTGAATTGTGGAGAAGTAAGGAAATGATAATAATTAATAATAATAATCCATCAAACATTAGCTTTTTTCAATTATTATATTACTTATATTTATTGCAATCTGTAATGATAATAATAGTGATGATGATGATAATAATGATGATATTAATGATTCTTATTTTTAATTCAGTGTACTATAAATGCTTATTGTTTTCATTACAAATGTACATGTACTCTTATTCTCATATACCTTATGCCATGAATTTCTTCTATAAAATCAGGGGCAGATCCAGTAGGGGAGCATGTATTCTGGATCCGCCCCTGAAAAACTTCTAAACCTTGTATCCTAATTTTTGAACGCTTTAACTCACAGGCCCATATGCAATATTTTGTGCTGAGCAGTTTCGTAGATAGTCTACAATCAATAAAAACAACTCCGACCATCCAAGCAACACTTACAAACCTATGTTGTTTATTTGGATTGTACTACATCACTCAACATAGAGCAGATTTTATGATCGTATGTATAAATCACATGATCGTAACTTTTATACGGAGAGAAACCTCCACTAGTGATAAATAAACATGATAAATTTTTTAGAAAACGTATTTCTGCTATGGGGATTTGAACCCAAGGCTCTGAACTGAAATTGTGGCAATAGTGGTGTACCACTTGACCCCGTAGCTTAAATACAGGAGCATCCGAAATATAACCAGATGATTTTGTGTTGAAATAACAGTTGAGATAATACCAGTGTATTCTCATGATTATATATAGTAGTTTTTTTCCTATTATTCATTTCACATAAATTAGTATCTGGGCTATTAACTAATCTTATTAATAGAACTAATAAACTAGTTACAAAGTTTAACAGTTTTATTTTAATTTCCTGCATATATGAATATTCCTCAAACTGTTCTGTTAGTTGTGATTTGGTTCACTATTTGGCTTTTGCTCCATCACTCAACATAGAGCACGTTTCTTGATTGTATATAATAGTGTTTTTATGTCTTTAATTGGCATGCTGTTCACATAAATTAGTTCGATGAGCTATTAACTATTCCCTTGTAAATTATCATTAACATTTGTAACACTAGATACAAAGTTTAATGGCTTTATTTATTTGAATTTCTTGGATAAATGAATATTCATGACTATTCTCTTGGTTGTGTACTGATTCAGTTCACTATATTAGCATGGAGCTTATTTTGCCTTTAGGCGATCTAGCAAGGACTTACAAGATTAATCTTATACCGCCTTGACTAAAGCTGTGCATAATATATGGGGCTTGTCATGCCAAAGCCAGCATCATGAAAATGTTGGGTTTTTTTTAATTTATTCATATTCTCCACATTATAAGCTTTAAAATGATGGGTCATTTACGGGAATCCACTTACTATTGCCAAAGCTATGAGTAAAAGTATTACAGCTTCTCTGTACTAATATATACAATACTGGCATATTCTTATGCTAATTATTCAGTTTAACATTCAGCGACATTACGCTGGTTTTGGGATGGAAAGCCTTATATATATTATCTTATTTGTTCTTTATATGTTTCTTATTGAATATACTAATAAATAAGTAAAATATTCGTATAATCTTTAATTTGCGTGTTCATCTCAATATATTTTTTTTAATAATTACTATATTTGGTAATAATAATAATATAAATTTAAAGATGTATACATTACATTATTATACAATTGAAAAGATCTTAAATAATTATTGCAGTTGTAATTTAAATACGATTCCTGTACTCATGTAATTACTCAAAGCTAATAACTTTATTTACAAGCTAAGTCCTGTCCATACTCAAATTTTATTTGACAAAACATGTGACGTGCCTGAATATGGTCATGATGACATCACATCATGACCATATATAGGCACATCCTGACTAAATATGGGCAACAGTTTTTTGTCAAAGAAAATTCCTAAAGCCCTTTCCAGATTATCAAATTTTTATTTGACAAAAACATGTGACATGCCTAAATATGGTAATGATGACCTCACATCATGACCATATATAGGCACATCATGACTAAATATGGGCAACAGTTTTTTGTCAAAGAAAATTTGATAGTATGGAAGGAGCTTTTATATTACAAGACAAACCTGTTATGCTCCAACATAGTTTGCTTCATAGTAATTTCCAGCCCCTCGTTACCAGTTCAATGATTTACTAGGAGATATTTTATGTCAATTGTAAGAGTATTCTCAAAGGTCTAAAAGCAAGAATGTTTTATGAGGATTTGCTAGAAAGGTTAGGTTCAAGTCACATCGACATACATTGCATGAGATCAGAACATGATACATAGTGTTTCAATTTGTTAACTGTAGGAAATCCAAAAATATCCATTAACAAGCTTATGAAAAGAACAGTTTAATTTTGTCTATGTTGTAATTTAGTTGCTAGATTAATTAAAACAAACTAATATAAATAATTATACTAAACTTTGATGTGTTATCTTAAGCCTTGTATAGACTATCAGATTAGACAAAACACTATTGTATGCCCATAGTTATGATGTGCCTATGTATGGTCATTTTGTGATGTCATTATTACCATATTTAGGCATGTCACACCAATAATTTCCCAGTGTCTCACCTACTCTGTGCTTCTGTACTCTGACAATGTTTGGTGGCCATGCTGGTCTCTGCCAGCCATCATCATTCTCCTGTCAGACAGCTTCTGTCCCCTCCCCCCTTTCCAAGAATGCATATCCTCTTATGCTTTTAATTGGGCGCCAAGAATTATTCAGAATTCATAATTCATAATTTTATTTCTATCACACGAGATGGTAACTAACAAAGCGAATTATTTCCCAATATATAAAGGCCAAATGCATAAGGCAAAAACATTACACAGTATCTACACTATCTTATATGTATGCATTTGTAAACAGATTTTTACAACCCATTTAATTTCCTTATGTCTGTTTAAATGTATATTGTTTGATGATTGATGATGATTATTGATTAATATTTAAATAAGCAATAAAAATAAATAACAATAAGTGTTTGCATGACAATATAAAAGAATGAATATATTCCTATAATTACAGTACAAGATACTGCCCAATTTGATTAATGACCCAGAATGCAGCAGTGTTTCAAGCTGCGTCCTAATTGGTTAGATTTATCATTGTATTTGCCGGCAGATATCTTCAGTTTTGATAATTCTCTTGATATTTTGTTCCTATTATAGGATGGCTACTTAACCCAAGATCAAATTATGCAAGGAAACGAAGAATATTTAAAATTGCTGGCAGCTGTAAGGTTGGTTGAGTATTCAAGAATATGTTGTTCCTTTTAAAGGAAGTGCTTACCTTCTTTCAATTTATGTAAAAATTAAAATGCTATTCAGCTTTTGTAAAAATCCAAATGTTTTTAATTGCTATTTAGTATACAGTGGTGGATCCAGGACTTTCACAGATGGATAGTCTAGACCACCCCTGCCTTATCCTGTTTGGGGTTGAGTGGATAGTTTAGACCACCCCTGCCTTATCCTGTTTGGGGTTGAGGTTAGAAAATTTATCATTATGGCACCTCTAGATGGCTGGAAATGGCAGTCTTGGTTATTTGAATAAGCACATATAATAGTTAGTGGTGGCCTTAAATAAGTGCTAATAATATTTATTTAATTTTATTTGTTTATTTTATTCTTTTAATATAGTTTCTTATTAATTTCTATTTAAGGCCTGAAGCTGTGAGTCTGGTGGATGCCTTTGACTACCGTGATGAGTGCATACACTCAACGCTTGGTTGCTATGACGGCAATGCCTACCAACGTCTCTATGAATTTGCAAAGAAAGGAGAAAGAAATAAATCACCGGTAAGACCCTAACCCCATATACCGACAAAATAGGTTCATGTCGATTGATTTGGATAAATGCATGCGCAGTTCGAACTACAAATTGGCTTTAAGACTTGAATTTTGTTAATTTTAAATTTTTATTTTATTTTCTCAGGTGCATGAAACCTATCACAAGTACCTTGTTCCTCTTATGCGTGGTCACTCAAAACTTTGAAGTAATTGAGCGTCTGGCCTCAAGTCAAGGTGTCAAGAGACAGTACATTGGTAGTTATGATAGATAATTATGATGATGATGTGATGATGATAATGATTGTGATGATGATAATGATTGGGATGAGAGGATACTAATTGAGTAATATAATGATTATGGCAATGAAGATTAATACGATGTTAGTGCCGATGATTATGTCGTTGGCTTCACATTTATATAAGGCATACATATTACATTTGGATAACAGCAAGAGAATAAATGGTGGTGATTAGGATAATGAAATTATAAAGATGATTATAATGAGATGATAATAATGATGACAGTAGGAAGATAATGATGAGATTATATTAATAGTGATGATGATGGTGGTAACATGTGATAGTGAGGTAGTGATGGTGGTAATGATGATAATGACAATGATGAAATTAAAGTTGATGGTGATGTTGAAATAATAATAATTGTTTGTTTGTTTCATTTATATCTCCATACACATGCTCATACATAACACAAAAGCTCAATAGCAGAAAAAAAAAAAAATAATAATAATACATTACAGAATAAATGTGTGGAAGAAGGCTAAAATACATTTAGAATAAAAGCCATGGCCACCAGTTAAAATTATATAAAATGAATTATATATAATGAATACATCACTAAAAAATAAATTTTTTTTAAAAGTTTAAGTCAGTCTGTTAAGTATAATGGGAATGGCTGACAGATGGACCAGGAGGATTACCTACCGCTCCAGAGACCAGAGAATTTTTAAGATTGTATTTGCAAGAGTGGAGATTAGGTAAAGATTTAAAGGAGGTTATTCGGACTATTGTAAAATATAGATTTTTTTCTAAAGGAGGATGTATAGCTTTCAAATAAAACAATACTTTTTACATTAATCAAATAAAACATTACTAGTATTATAATCATGTATATGAGACTGATAAAGATGATAATTGTTTTTATTATGTTGGTGATCAGTGAATATATGTATGTCAATCTTTGTTGCCCCTTGTATTTACATTGGTGCTTGGTTTGTTATTGATAAAACAGTTATAAAGTTATAATGAGAAGGTTATTGCTGTAGCTTGATGGTTAATGCAGTACAGACAAATATTAGGATGTTTTCACATGATGAAACAATTCCACACGCTAAACCTCATAATGAGGTTTGGTTTATTGAGTATCACTTTTCCTTCTTGAAATTGGCAATTGCTCTTTAGATGTTTAAAAAAAAAACGCAATGAATTAAAGTAGTAAGGACTGTGTCTACTATTTACTCTTTACCAATGCTTTTTAATAATAAAAAAATATATATAATGTAATCAAATAAATAAGCATGCGTAGTGTTGTAAATGATAATTTTTGCATAATATTTACATTGTAGATACACAATTAGTATTCCACATAATATCTGGAATAGCTATTGAATATTCATGAGCATGATATGCTTACCAAGCTCCAGTCTGAATTAGGGAGCTTTGAAGCAGCCTTCTTTCAAGTTTTATGTGACAAAATTGTGTCAGTTGCCCATATATGGGTATGATGATGTCGTATGACATCCATATTGGGTATGATGATGTCATGTATGGACAAATGACTTATTTAGAGTCTGTATGAAAACTAGATTTGTGCCAATTGTCCATATGATGGTGTCATATCACATTCATATATGGGTATTGTTGGAGAAACTTGGGGGGGGGGGGCGCACACAGCAGTTTCAGAATAGATAAATGAGAGCACATGACATTGATATGCCCCCCTGCCCCTACTGGATCCTCGCCTGAAAATTTCTTTTAAAATGTATAAAAGCTGAAGCTGATCTTAATTTTTTGTATAATTGCAAACCTTCAAGTGTTTTCCCCCAAATATATGGGAATGATGACATCAAAATGTAGGCCTATGGGCAAATCACAGTTATTTAGAGCTGTATGAAAACTACAATAGTTTGATATTGAATTTTAGTTCAATGATGTTGATGTATTAAAACGTGCCTAATTAATAAAAATGAATCTTTGAATTTTTTAAATGTTGCGAGTGTTTCATTCTTAATGTACAAACCAATAAAAAGATACAACAGGCTCTAAAGTGTACAATATGATCTAATAAACGTAACTTTTTTGACAGATGCTGCTATCAAATAACCGCCACATTAGAGTTTTTTCCTGGATAAGCGTAATCAAGAGAACATGGCATAGTGTCTTAACATTCATACGGTATCAGGGAATACTAATGTATGACGGCCAGAAATTCTCTTGGGCTAACACAAGAATTATGTTGCAACAAGTATGATATGGAACACACATGATAACATTTTAATGCTTCAATTTTCTAATAAACGTCACTCTTGGATAATCACTAGTCTTCAGCCGCACCCACACCTACTTCTGTAGGACTTGATATATGGAGCTGTTCCATTGTTTTAACATGTTGAGAATTATTTTTGGAGAATGCAAGAACAGTTGTAAATAACAAAATTCCTACTTTAAAAGGACAATCCATAAATTATGCAAATGTGGATTAGGAAATCTATTCTATTTTGATTGAGTATTCTAGCATCGCCAAAGAACGTGGATCCCTTTACATGTTCGGTGGTTAATGACACAGGGAGATATATTATACAGTAGTAAACTATATCTCTGTGTGTGGTATAACCGGCACCCTTCTAATGAAGATATATAACCGATTTTAAAAATGTAAATGTACAATTAAAATAAGACTTTTAATTTATTATTTAAAGAATCACACAATTTAACTTTCACAGATCAACAAAAAAAGTCCTTTTTCATTGTTACATAGAGAGGCAAATGTTTCACTAACACAATAGAAATCAGTTGCGAATCTGAAGTCTTTGGTGGGCTGGGGAGGGGGTCGTGAGTTTATCGAGGACCTATGGTCTGAGGGGACCTTACCTATGGTCCGAGGTGGAGGGTTGGAGTATTGCCTTCTTAGGAGGTCCAATGGGCTATGTCTCTGGAAATTTCGGAGATTTAGTTTAGGCCTATCTTTACCTGAAGATGCATTTTTTAAATTATTTTAGCAGCTTCTAGGGGTGGGAATAGCCCCTTTTCCACCACCATTGAGAAATTGTATAATATAAACATTTAATTTATGAGAAAAAAAAATCTCGCTCCAATTTTTATTTGAAAGCTAATAATGTACTAAAATATAAAAAAAGTAAACAATTAGGGCCCTACAATTTCTTCTCTCAGAAAAAAATCAGTTTTTTTTAATGGTCCTAAAGTTTGGAACGAATTGGATACTTCTTTCAAACTTCTACCCAATCTTCATACATTTAAATCCAATCTTAAGAAGGCTCTGGTCTCGGTATATGGCAGGTAAGCCTACTGGTTTCTTTTAATATTATTTACCGGTACCAATATCCATAGTTTTATTAGTTCTTATATTCGGTTCATACAGCTTATCATTTCGTATTCAAATAATACTTACAGATATGCTGTATTCCAGTAAAATAAAAGAAAACTTAGTTTACTTTACTTATATTTTTTATTAACAAATAAATAAATAAAACAAAGAAAAAATATACTTAATACTTGGATGCAGCATATCTGTATTCCCTAGACTACCTGTATCTCTAATTTATTATGCAATTTATAATATGCAACTTTGATGTATTTACTTCATCGTTTATGCTATTTTTTTTGTTTCTTTTTGTAACTCTGATTTTTAGCCGGTGACCAGGCCGTAAAGTTTGTTATCAAACTTATTTTGGTCCCCATCCACACAGTTTTATCTACTCATTTTCTTCATTTTTTACTCCGTTTTACATTGTTTATAACCAATACTGTATTGTTTATATTATATATTTTCTGTGTGGAAAAACCTAACAAACAAACAAAAACAAAAAATTACTTTTTTATGTTCAGGTTCATTAGATTTATGTCGTTGAATATTTTTTTCTTATTTAAGTCTTGATTATCAGTCCTTTATATTCGTAGATTAAGTTTCCATTGCAGTTTGTTCTTAATGTTGTTAGATAAATCAACGGATTAACATCTTGTTGCTGCCGGATATGTTGTAGGGTGAGTCTGAAGGTTAGGTTCCTTAATGCCCATTGCTTGTTTTAAAAACAGGGATACGGATTACGAGGTGGGAATGGTACATTTTTTTGCAACATGAAGTACCGGTTATGACGGTGATGATAATCATGATGATGGTGGTTATTATGTTGATGGTGATGTTGGTGATGCAAACCGGTAGCCAGGGGTGTTCGAAAGAACTCCCCTTTTCCCTGAAAGTTTTCGAAATCGCAGTTAGATGTTTATGATCAGCTAGACTACATTAAAATACAAATCATGACGCCTTCGCTGCCTTAATTAACCCGTCACCTTCATTTAGATTTCAAATAGTGGTTCACATCCAAAATAGTCTGTTAATTAAATCATGGTTAAACGGACTACAATAATCCGGTTAACTAGTTATTAAGTTCAATTAAACCAAGCTATATTCTACACTGTTATCTTTATCACCAAGCCGTAGTTCTCAGAATCTATCGCAATAATAGAAAAAGGAAGACATTAATGAACTTATATTTCGTCTCAGCGAAATCGATATATAAACACTTGTAAACACGGCGCTATATAATTATAATGCCATGAGCATTGAGCAATCCGTTCTTTTGATACTTTAATGCTTTTGCAAGAATTCAGCTGAATTATTTCAGAAAAGCTCATCTTAGACAGTTAGTTAAAAAAAAAACCCAGCTCGTCTGCGTATTAAGGTCGCTTGGCAACCTCTGATGCGCACTCGTTTTTGTGCCTTGAATGGCCTATTACGATGTTTCAAGCTCCGCCCAGCCCAATAAAAGTAAAGATTGAAAATGTTATGAGAAAATCAGATCTTCGTCATGTAGGAAATCACGTGATAATCGGAGTGAACATCCGACAATAAAAAGTATAATAATAATCAGCAGGCTACATTTGCGATACACTAGGCCTACTTTGATTATTTGGGGTAGCGTGTGTCTCCCTTTATACACGTTTAGTCATTATATAATTGATTATTGTAACAATCATAATTATCTTCAGTTATGCTTAAAGTGTTTCTATTATATTCCTAAGTCCTATAAAACGACAGCGTAACGTACGAAACACGTCTGTTTATTTGATGTGCGCGTAATCTTGGCCCTGGTCGGTCGGTTAAGTTTTATATGAAACTCCAAAAAGGAGATCCAAGAGCATTAATTTATATTGTCGTCGTTTCTTTTCATTTATTTTACATAAATAATGATTGATATAATATAATGACATTTTTAGATAATGTCATTGATATATAATGGCATGACTTTAAAATGCCAATGTCAGTTTCGCCATTGATAAATAATGTCATTAACTGACACTGATGAGTTCAAAGTTAATTCGAATTGGTTAATAATGGTTAATTAACATTCTTAGCTTAATGAATGCATTTCGATGATGCTGGAGTAGAATAGGCCTATAATTGCGTATGATCAACCAACAACGAATAAAGGTTCGAATGACGAAATGACCATCTGTCACGTATCTGTCACGTGTCTTGCAAACATAAATCAACGTATCCGCAGACATCTCAGATAAGAAGACTATGAATACGATTTACTTAATTTTCTCCATGTTTCCTCGCAAAGCTACGAAGATCCAGAAGGGACATGATGAAAAAAAAATTGTATCACGTACGTACGTATTATTATCACGTACGTACGTATTAGTAATACGTACGTACGTGATAGTATCACGTACGTACGCATTACTATCACGTACGTACGTATTACTATCACGTACGTACGTATTATTATCACGTACGTACGTATTACTATCACGTACATACTTATCAGTAATACGTACGTACGTATTACTGTTACGTACGTACGTGATAATAATACGTACGTACGTGATAAATTTTTTTCATCATGTCCCCTCTGGGTCTTCGTACAAAGCTAATAATAGCTTTATTGTGTGCTCTTAAAAAGGTTCTGTTAGACTATCTCTATAGAGAGCATCGGAGTACAAGTGGAGTAAAATACGGTAGTGATCATGTTCCACCCTTGATAGCCATATTCGCTATCCTCATAAATGTTATAATTTATAATGAAAGAAAATAAACTAATAATAAGTATAATAACAACATAATATATATACATATATATATATATTATATATATTTATATATATATACATATTTATATATATACATTTATATATACATACATATATATATATACATATATATATACATCATAAATATATATATATATATGTATATATACGTATGTATATATGAACTGTATATATGGATATAAGCCTATATAATATAGTGTATAGGCCGATACTATGTCGGCCAATTATTATTACCTGTATTATAATTATGTCATTAATATAAACATATCAGTATTTTTCTCGGCCTCTTGTCTATCTCAATATGAGTTTACCACCTGTTATTCAATTGAATCGATATACGTTAGTTTGTATTAGCGACAATTCCCAAGGTCTGTACGTCTACAGTTTAATATGAATATCGTTTATATGAAGTCGTTGATACATTAGATAAAAATATAATACTGTCTGGTAAAATATTGAAAACGTTTCTTTATTAAACGTGCTAAACAGAATGGGACCGATATTTAAAAAAAACCTGGATTTTAGCTACATAAATGTAAAGACAGGGGCGTAGGCCGGTTTCATCCCGGGGTGGGGGTGCGAAAATGGAGAAAATGGAACTGGTGGTGCGAAAATTGTGAATACGGAACTACTGTAAATTCCCATTCCGATAAAAACTTCATTTGTAATATTTGAACTCACTTAGTGGAACTAATTTGCTGTCATGGGGGTGCGTCTACACCCCCTCCCTGCCTACGCCCATGAAAGGGTTTATAGGGGCGGTATTATTTATGCACCTGCTTATTTAAAGAGGAAAATATATTCTCATACTAGTTTATTTCCAGAGATTGAGTAAAGACAGGTATTTCCCTGAATGAAATAGAAGCAACGTTTATTAGCCCACTCCCAGCACATGGGATTTGTCCTGTTTTACAGATAAATAAAATAAAAAAGATTTTTAAAATGTAAGCTACAGTATAGTATAAATTAATATACATAAATAAATTAATATATATATATAATATAATA